AATGAGGGAGGGGACGAGAGAGAGGAGAAACGAGTACGTTCTGATATCTCACCAGGTGCGACATGGCAGAGAGGCTGCGGGTGGAGTCCCTGGTGCTGTCCGACGACTACAACGACGATGCTTACAGAGGGCAGGTGAGAGTGAACTACATCCCTTTGGCGCTCCCTCTTTCCTCGTCCAGTCCTTGCCCTCAGCTCCGTCTCCCTCCCTCCGTCCTCGCACCTGGCACTACCTCCCTCTTCCTCTCCTCCTCACTGTCGGCTTCCTCTCCCTCCGACTCTAACTGTCATCCTCTTCCTTTTCCCCTCATTGTCCTCCTCTTTCTCCTCTCCCCCTCTTTCTCCTCTCCTCCTCTTTCTCCTCTCCTCCTCTTTCTCCTCTCCTCCTCTTTCTCCTCTCCTCCTCTTTCTCCTCTCCTCCTCTTTCTCCTCTCCTCACTGCCCTCCTGATCATTCTTTCATTTCAGATGCCGAAGCTCAAAAGTGTGCTGCGGAAGTTGACGGAGGCGCGATGAGACTTGCAGACTTTATCGACGGTCAACGAGAGGTGAGGGTTCTAACACACAGAATCCTCCCTTCCTATCTTAAGAGGATCAAACGTGACATGTAGACCGATCAAGGTTTCAAATGAAGGAGAAAGGATCCGAAGAGTCCTGCAAAGATCGTGAATGTCTGAGGGATACGGACGGCAGGGAGGCAAGGGGAGACGGAGGATAAAGAACGAAGGAGGAACAAGGGAAGGGGTTGATGGAAGGGAGGCCGAGAGGGAGGGATAGAATGTAGTGGAGGGAGCGAAGGGAGTTGAGTGGAGGGAGTGGAGGGAGTGGAGGGAGTGGAGGGAGTTGAGTGGAGGGAGTGGAGGGAGTGGAGGGAGTGGAGGGAGGGAGTGGAGTGGAGGGAGTGGAGTGGAGGGAGTGGAGTGGAGGGAGTGGAGGGGCTCAAGCCATGAATCACCTTGAGGCCAAGTTTCTGCTGGGTGGAATGAGAGACTGCACCTGCGCCTCCGCCCATGCCTCCTCCCATTCCCATTCCTCCTCCCATCATGTTGCCTTGCATGCCCATGCCGCCTTGCATGCCCATGCCTCCTCCCATGCCGCCTCCCATGCCCATGCCTCCCATTCCTCCTCCCATTCCCATGCCTCCTCCCATTCCCATGCCGCCTCCCATACCTCCTCCCATCATGTTGCCTCCCATACCGCCTCCCATTCCCATGCCGCCTCCCATCATGTTGCCTCCCATGCCTCCTCCCATCATGTTGCCTCCTCCCATGCCCATTCCTCCGCCCATACCTCCTCCCATCATGTTGCCTTGCATTCCCATGCCTCCTCCCATCATGTTACCTTGCATGCCCATACCCATGCCTCCTCCCATGCCTCCTCCCATCATGTTGCCTTGCATGCCACCATGTCCGATCTTCGCCATAGTGTTCATGCTCATCTTGGGCCCATCGGACTGCGAGCTCTTCCCGGAGCCCAGCGACAAGCTGTCGAGGTTCACAAGCGACGACAAGGCGTCCTTCGCGCCTGCAGGTTTACCGGCAGGAGGAGGCTGAACAACGTTTGGAGTGTTGGATCCCACGAAGTTGCCGAATCCGAAGTCTGAGTTCGACCCATTGCCCATGGAGGGAGCAGGAGCAGGGGCAGGAGCAGAGAAAACGTCGGAAAGGAGGTCTTGTGCAGACTTGTGCTGGGCAGGAGCAGCGCCAGAAGAGAAAGGATCAGACCCACCGAAGGGATCGTTACTAAAGTTGCCGAAGGGCTCTGAGATGGCACTCAGTCCTAGTCTATCGCCTCTAACCGTTTTCCTACCTGTGCTGGCAGCCGTTGCAGTGGGCTGACTGCCGAAGGGATCGCTGCCGAAGTTCGCCCAGTCGTTCTGCTGAGGGGTCTCAACCTGCGATGCAAGAGCGAATTTCAGAAAGCAGTGCGGGAGGCATCATGGCAAGGTTGACCGTGCTTCTTGACTGGGTTGGTTTATGATCAGGGACAACTGAACCTGAAATGCTCCTGTCAAGGGCAGACGGAAGCGTTCAGTCGGAATCAAAATGAACTACCGGAAAGGGGTGCAACTGGCTTATCCTCAACCTGCCATGTCCCATAAGAACCATCGAGGTTTGAGCAACGGCAGACAAGACCTTGGCGTTGCTCGGCTTGATGTTGATCTTGATCGCACCTCCTCCCGACGACTTGTTGGCAAACGGATCTTCTCCCCTGTTTCTCCGTCAGCGCTCTTACATCCGACAAGGTCCGGGCAACCAGTCGTCGTCGTCATCCTTCTTCTTGTTGTCAGAGAACGTCTCCTTCCTGGGAAGGATCCTCAGCGGACATGAGACCATAGTGCAGGCTTACTTCTCCGTGTCTCTCTTGGGTCGATCCCAATCATCGTCATCGAACTTAGACGAGCTTCCGCCGGAGCTGGAACAGGACAGGGCAAGCATCACTACAACCCACGACAATCAGAGTTTCTGATGCCACACCGATATTCCTCGCTGCTGAACCCCCCGCTCTTTTCATTGTGGAAGCTAATCAAGGATTGGGCTCAGTGACAAACCACCTCTCCAAGATTCCTTGCTCTTCACCGATCTCTGGCCCTGCGAGCCTTCTCTCTTTCCTCCGAGAGCCTTTCGTTGCTTCACAGGCAACCATCAGGTTCGAAGAGCGCATCTACCATCATCTCATACCTTTGAAGGAGCTCGATCAGCTGCTTCGATTTCTCCCTCACGTTGATTCCCTAAGTGTCCAACGGAGTCAGCGAGCCAGCGGCAGCAGCTCCAGCAAGGTTTCAGACCTGGTCCTTGCCAGTGTTCTCTTCCGTGTACTCGAATCTCTTCAGCGGCTCCAACCTTGACGATGGTCAGCCAGTCGACAAGTTGCCAACGAGCATCGGCAAACCTCTCAACGTTGTCCCTGACATCCTCAACGAACCTCTTGGTTCCGTTCTTGACACAGTAGTCGAGCACGTTGAGCGCCTTGTACACCTGCAAGGATCTCGCTCAAAACTAGAGGTCTTCACAAGACTTCTTCACACCTTGCGCCAGTTCTGTGGTGGTTCTTTGAACCTTTCCCAAAGGACCTGAACACATCCAAAGTTCACCCAGCGATTATCACACGCGAATAAGAACCTGCAGGATCAAACTTTTCTGCTGGGAATCACTTGTAGCAGCTGAAATCTCATGGAGCTGCAGGCAGGACCGAAGTTCAGCTCCATCTTCATCATCACGACACTCATCTCCTCTACCTGTGTTCCCGATGGTCCCCAAGCCTCGCTGCCTGAAGCGATTGTCACAACATTTTCTGCGGCAATAGAAGCATGCGGAAAGTACTTGTTGCTTCCATGACTTTGGCTTCAATTTCACTTACGTTCAAGACAACTACAAATATGATAAGAATCCAGAGAGCAAAACAAGAGCTTAAAGGAGATACCGTTTCTTCCCTTTTTGAAGAGATCCTTCCCCATAGCAAACGCCTTAAGCGCGATACCATTGAGGTCTGAAGATTCCATTTTTGGATACTGTTCTGAAATTTCGCAATGTTCAGATCAAGATCACTTGCTGTCCTTCGACGACTGTCTAACTAGAAACCACAAAACACAAAACAGTCCACTTCTTCGAAACTCGAATTGCATTTCTTGCAAGCATAATCCTCTCACAGACTGTCTTTCATACTCTCCTCCTATCGTCTCTGTCCCTTATGGCGCTCATCGTCCGCCATTCCTCCCTCCCGCAGGTACTGGCCTGTTCCCACTAGCCATCACACCCATTTCTCGCTTACGTCATGTTCACCGATGCCATTATGTGCGAAACCAAATCGCCCTGCTCCTTCTGAAATCGTTCCTTTCATCGCTATCAATGCATTGACATCCCTTCTTTTGCCCCCTTCTCTCCTCCTCCTACTCCTCCTCCTCCTCGTCGTCGTCGTCCTCCTCCTCCTCGCATGCGTTTTCCCCAGCCATCCCTTGCCAGCCATGCCGGGTGCCAGGGGGTAGTGAATGAAGTTAGGGTCCTTCAGAAACTGGTAGGGTCATTGTTAACTGGGGGTGGGTACTTTGACATGGACTTAACAATTCAGGTGGTAGGGGTGACGACTTGTCGTTCAATCACCGGTGTATATGAGCTTCAATATGTAGCGAATGAAGGGGTAATAAATGGTTAGAGGTGGTCATAGATGTTGTAGCCTAGTGTTATCCACGGTGGGTGATCAAAATATGAGGTAGGGGTATTTCCATGCAGTCCAAAATCCAAGAAGGTGGGTCTTGGTCTGCATGTGTTCTACAAGAGGGGTACTCTATATCACCCCTTGTATGATGTACCCCTATCCACCTAGGGACCCACGGGGCCAGCCCTCGGGTATCACCCCACCCATGTCACCAAGAAAATCAATCACAAACCCAACCCGTACATCGAATGTTGGGAGATGGCTGGACCCCATTTGATTGACCAGTACCCCGAGAACTACTATACTACCCTGTCAATTATGCACAAATTTCAGATAAAATAAGGGGTGACATTGATAACCCACCCCTTAGAAGTACTCCTCAAGATCCCTTCCACCCCTACATGCTCAGTGTACCATGCCAACATCAACTTTCTACCACCCATGTAACCCAACTGCATGTACCCCTGGTCCTGTGGTGAATTTCAACCCACCACATGGGGAGTACATTGGCTAAACAGACCGGTGGTCACAAGCTGGACTTCTGGCAGTGGGGTAGGGGTGTCAAGTGGAGGCGTAGCCTCTTCCCCAACCTGGGGAATCCAGGGGTGGGGTGGGGTAAGAACATGGGAAAATACAGGGTGGGGGTGATATCAAGGGGTAGGATATACACAGGTCAGGTAGGGGTAGTATTTGAAAGCCCTCATCCCCAACCAGCATCACTTCTTTAGCCCTCATCCTGGCCCTCATCCCCTACACAACATGTCTCTAAACTGAACCATAACTAACTAATCTCACCACTGCCTTGCCGGCTAGCTCAACACAACAATAACATGAAAGAGGAGAAGATGATAGCAAGATGATAACAAGATGACAAACAATCAAAAAAAGATGATAACAAGCTCATAACAAGATCATAACAAGATCATAACAAGCTCATAACAAGCTCATAACAATATGATGAAGTTAGATATTGAACACTTTAATGGACCAATCTAGTCTGACTGGGAATGGTATAGCATGCCGACTATAGCGAACGATGCACATGAAAGACCATCAAAATCTCTACATCTGACTGAATGACCAGGTCATTCGCCTCCTCCTGGTGTGCGTGGACCAAACGGGACAAGAAAGGATGGTACTTCCAGCTACTGACGCAATCTACGTGGCAGGCAGGAAGGACGGGGTGGTAATCTAGTTTGACGATGGTAACAGGTTACGGATTTTATGTTCCCTCGTGGAACCGTGCGGAGGGAGCGAATGTAAAGAAGCAGGGCGAGGGACAGGATAGGGCGGAGAAGGTGCAGCAAGTGCTATCCCTTCCTGCCATCCCTTCCTGCCATCCCTTCCTGCCGTCCTTTCCCTGGTCGACCCGATTCTGGCAGGAGAAAAGTAGAAGCACCACGAGTAGGAGGCGTCCGATGATAGCACCTTCGTGGGTAAGAGAATTCTTTGCGTGCACAATCTGTCTTTGCTGCTCTTAATGTTCTCGTCGTCTTGCGTTCAATCTGGCTAAATTTTCACAATCATCGCATGCACTTCCCTCTCTCCCTCCTCCCCCTTCCCCTCCCCCTCTCCCTCTCCCCCCCTCCCTCTCCCTTTCCCTCTCCTCTCCGTCTCCCTTCCCTCTCCATCTCCCTGCATTGATGGGTTGACTTGTTTTGCAGGCCATGGGAGGAAGACGCTCAGGGCCGAGTGGCGTGGTGAGGAGATTTGACCCCAGCAACAGCCCAGCTGAACATGACGGCAGGGCTGTCCATGTTGTGGGGTCCCGTCGCATGAGGACACATGGCGAGCGGAGATGTCAAACTTGAGTGCTCTGAGGCCGTGAAATGAGGCGGTTGACGTGAGGGAGGAGAGAGGACCAAGGGGTGCAAGACAGGGACGAGGCAGTTGAGAGGAGGAGGGGGAGGCGAGAGGAGGAGGAGGAAGTGAGGGATCAGGCGAGAGGAGGACGAGCGAGGGGTGAACGGCCGAGCTCCACGTCTCAGCGAACTTGTGAAGCGTCAGCAGCGGTGTAACGATAGGAGGAGAGAGGAGAGATTCATTCTGATAATAACATGGTGCTGGACGTCGAAGTGACATTACTGATGTGAAGCTGAACGTGAGCAGGGCAGCAGCTTGCAAGCTGTTGGGTCCTCTGTCCCATCCTCCTCAGTGACTCCCTCCCTGCTGGCTCCGCCCGTCATGCTCCTGCAGATGGAGAGGAGGCTGAGGCAGATCGCATCCTCTGCCTCCTTGCTAGATGACGGCTCCCCCAGCGAGCTCCTTGCCTTCTCGTACCCCTGGGAGAACCTGAGGACACAGAACTCCTCCCTCCTCCTCCTCACTGTTGCCCACATGCTCGTCATCACCACCCACACTGTCATTCCCTTCCTCGTTTCCGTCCCGAACCCTGTTTGGTTCCTCCACCATTTCCTCTCATGACTGCTCCCTCTCCCCCTCTTTCGTGTTCCTCCTCCCTTCTTACCTCGGTGCAGACCATCACGAGGATCAGGGCATGGGCAGCGCTCTGCTGCTGGTGAGAGAGTTGGTTTGAGGTCAGCTCTTTGAGCAACCGCTGCAGCAGTTGCGTTGAGTCCCTCTCCTTTCTCCCCTCGATCCTCCTCCTCCTCCTCCTCCTCCTCCTCCTCCTCCTCCTCCTCCTCCTCCTCCTCCTCCTGCTTCCTCTTTCCCTTCCTCTTTCCCCTCCTCCTTTATCTCTCGCTCACCTGAGCCAGAGGGAGGACGAGAGTGGAATTTCCGCATCCCCAGGACTTGCTATGCAGTCAGAAATGGACTCGTTCAAGCAAGAGCAAGAGAAACAAGGAGAGTGAAGGAGGAGGGGGTGGTTGGTAGAGGGGGGGAGGAAAAGCAAGCAGGGAAGCAGCTGAAGGAGAGAATGCTACAGCAAGCAGGAATGAAGATGGGGGGGGCAGCAAGTTCGGGCGCGAGGGTGGGAGAGAGGAGTCATGGATCACCCGGACAAGAGATTCTACGAGGATGAGCGAGACTTCAAGGTCCATCTGATGAAAGTTTCTCTGCAGAGATGTCAAAGTTTGGCGCGGAGGAGAAGGAAGGTCTCAACGTTGACAAGCTCAAGCCAGAGGACGTCGGAGACTCTGCGGAATCTCTTTGACTTGTAGAGGAGCTTGCAGAGACGCTGAGAGGACAACCGTCAGCAACAGTGACGTGGACGTTTGAGAATGACGTGGACCAGAGCAGGAGAAAGCAAGCAAGTGATGAAGATGATCTACCTCCTTGACCAATGTGTTATGCTGGTTCATGGCATAGAGTTCTTCCAGCTTGTCAACAGCCTTGTTGAATGGAGTCAAAGGAAAGGAAGCAACCAAGGGAGCAGCCCCACCATGTCTTCCTCCCCGTTCTTCTCAAGGATCATCGCAGCGTTCCAAAGTTTCTTGCAACTCCAAACTCAAAACAGGCTCCAACCTCCTCACACTCTGAACCACCTGCTGTAAGACTTGGGCCGGGAGGTGCCGCGCCTCCGCCTCCAGGACATCCAGGACTCTCCCGCCCGACTGGGGGTCTCCTGCCTGAGAGAGGATGAGAGGAGAGCAAGTGGCAGCAAGACAAGCAAGGGCTCACTTGCAAGAGCAAGTCCGCGGCTGAGAACCTCGAGCTATCAAGCAGCTCGCCCATGACAGCTTGAAAGTTCCTCAGGACGGAGGAGCGATCGCTGCATGCCCCGCTCAACTCCGCACTCCTCCTTCCACATGTCATGTCCGCACCTGTCGAGCAGGGAGGCGGAGGCAGCAAGGGAGTCCCTCACGTCAAGGGCCTGTGGGAGGGGCAAGCTTGAGAGACGGAGGGATCAGGACACACGACCAGACCATCGAGAAAAGAACTTGTTTCTTCATGTCAGCGCCCTGCTGTTAGACAGCCAGTCAGCAGGGAGCAAGCACCGAGGAAGCGCATGCCTCGGACATTCCTGCCTTGTGGAGGAGGAGGAGGAGTTTGGCAAAAGCTGCGGGTCTGCATACAGCTCTTCAGAATCAGGGGCAGTCAGACTAGGAGTACTTGTTCGGGCTATGGTCGATTGCTCGTTTGTAACAGATGTTTGCAACCCAAAAGTCTTGTTTCGACGTTGCGAGATCTCCCATCAACAGCATTCGCATGTACACGTTTTCTTCCAAACTTTCATGCTCTTCCAAATGATTGATGACGGTCCTGAGAAGGGAAAGGATTGGTTGATAAAAACTGCTTCTTGTTATCATTTGGAAACACCTTATCTTTACCAGCGATCTCTTCCTGCTGCTTGTCCTGACGGAAAAGAACGCAAAGAAAAGATTCCCGACATCGATTGTGACGTTAGCCGCTGTCGTAGAGTTTGCATTTGCAGGAAAACCTGAGGAGGAAAGTCAAATGGAGGGAGAAACGACGACAAAAAACACGAGTAAGACAAAGAATGCAGACAAGGACGAGGACGAGGACAAGGACAAGGACAAGGACGAGGACAAGGACAAGGACAAGGACGAGGGCGAGGGCGAGGGCGAGGACGAGGGCGAGGACGAGGACGAGGACGAGGATGAGGGCGAGGGCGAGGGCGAGGGCGAGGGCGAGGGCGAGGGCGAGGACGAGGACGAGGGCGAGGACGAGGACGAGGACGAGGACGAGGACGAGGACGAGGAAGAGGACGACGGAGGAGGACGAGGAGAAAAGATGCAAAGAACACATTGACCTCTACCTTCCAACTGGCTCTTCCCTTGACATGCTGCGAAGTCTCCCACGTACTTCACGTCCAGCTCCAGCTCAGCAGGGTGGATTCTGTCAACGCTCATGGAGATGGAGTAGCTGGAAGTCGACTTGGAGGAGGAGACGTCGAGGACAGGGACGGCAAGGACGACTGGCGTCGCCTGTGGCAGCACATAGGTGACGGCACCCTCCTCCACCAGAGAGCTTCGGAGGATGAAGGAAACCTGGTAGGCTCCGCGCTCAGTGGCCAGGATGGTGAGGTAGAGCATCCTGCTCTGGAAGAGGTCGAGGCGGCAGGGGTCCGTTACAAGATCGGCAACACCAACTGCGTCCTCACATCGGCACATGGAGCTGCTGGGGTCGGTGACGGAACTGTCTTGGTTCAGCAGTGCTGTGAAGGGGGCAGCCGCTGGGGACCGGACCTGTACCACGAGGTACGAGTATCTCCCCAGCATGAGGGCAGGGTGCGCGTTCCCTGGGTGCGTGTGCCTGTAGAGGCTGTGGATGTCCACTTGCTGCCTGCACGGTGCTCCTCCTCCCTCACATTCGAGGCTCTGATAAGCCTCCAGGTGCTCGGTGCCTTCAACTGCCTCCCCGAAGGGAGTGGAGCAGCGAGCATATGAAGCAAGGAGGAGGAGGAGGAGGAGAGAGCGGAAGATGTTACCGCCACGGCGCGAGCCAGCGACATGCTCCATGCCCGCTAGCTCGCAAGTCTCATCCTTTCCCGCCTCCCGTTGCGCCCCGCTGCCATGGGAAGAGCCCCCGACACTGAGGCAGGCTCGAGGAAATTTACATGGCCAAGGATGTCGGGTTGACCATGCGAGGAGGAGGAGGAGGAGGAGGAGGAGGAGAGGCAGGCGAGGGGGCAGGAGGATCGACGGGGTGGAGAGGTGAGCAGGGATCAGAGAGGAGGCAGCATGACGGCTATGGCGAGCCGGATGAAGCGCAGGAGAAGATGACATGGGAGGATAGAGTATGGTTCCCAATCTTCACCTCTGTGTTCTTCGGCATGTTCTTCTATGCAGGAGTGAAGAACGTCCACTGGAGGACGATGGTGGTGGAGAGGAGGATGTTCGTGAAGGATCTATCCCGCGGCTGGTTCCTTGGGCTCCCTCAAGACCTCTCTGACCCTCAGTGGAAGACCCTGCGCAAGTTCTTTCCTCTGCTGTTCTCCCTGCTCGTGGGACACGTGCTGGCGTCAAAACTTGCTCGGACGACCTTCTGCAAGGGGAGCAGCAAGAGTTTGAGCAACTTCCATGCAGCCGTCAACTTGATCTTCGTTATCATCCTACATGGTTTCAAGATCTGCCTTCTTTCACCCTCCTCCTCGTTCCTCGTTCCTTCCTCCTTCCTCCTTCCTCCTTCCTCCTTCCTCCTTCCTCCTTCCTCCTTCCTCCTTCCTCCTTCCTCCTTACCCATCCTTCCTTACTCATCTTTCCCTCCTACACCCTCCTCCGTTTTCTTCCTCCCTCCTCCCTCCTGACTCATCCCTCCCTCCTGCTCCCTCCTCCTTGCTCCTTGCTCCCCTCTACTCCCTCCCTCCCTTCCTCTCTGACACCTCGAAGGACCCAAGGTCGTGTGGCCCCTGCTGACCAACATCACCGTCTTTCTGATCGGCCAGCATTTCCGAGGCTCCATTATGAATCCTGTGCTGCCCCAACCTGTCGCGGAATCTTAACTTGACTGCTTCTCAGGTGCTGACGTGGCTGGTCTGCCTGCTAGTTCTCTTCAGCTCCGACTACTACGGAGGGTTCGAGACTGTCAGGTTGGCTCCGATGTTCGGCTCCCTGCTCAGTTTCTGGGACGATTTCTCGGGCCTTTACAGGTAATGGTTACCCTCTTGTCGTCGTGAGCGCCTGTTGGCCAATCACCAGTTGCTTCTCCGACGTTTGCTGGTTCATCATCATCCGGTTATAGGCGGCAACTTTCCAAGTGTTGCCGGTGGTGATGTAAGCGTTCCAAACCTGAAGAAACGAGTCAGGTGGAAGAGAGCAGAACCGCCGAGGTGCCTCCACCTTTCTCAGGGTCGTCAAGGTCAGTCTCTCCCTCGTTCATCTCGTCCACTTCCTTCCAGAACGTGGGGTGTTCCTCCCGCCAGTCAGGCAGCACCAGGCCTCTGTTTTCGTCTCTCTTCTG